GCCTAAAAAACGTCTTTCCCATCTCTAACTCCTACAGCATGGTTCTATCAAAAATCAAAAATAAACAAAAGTGAAAATGGCTATCTAAATTTGTTCTCCAAGCGGAGACTTTTCCATTCAAAAATGGAAACAAACAGTTTCATTGATCTGTATACTGGTTTCATGTCCCTTTTTATTCAACCCCTCTCTAAACAGCCCTAATCTTTTCAATCCCTCCACATGTCTCTAACTTCGACTTTCTGGATCTGAATCCTTCCCATGCCACTCATGTTTGGGGCATGAACAAGGCCCCACCATCCCTGTCTATAATGTTGATTGCTGGTATGGCTACCTGGCTTTGTTTCTCTATCTTAACTTTTTTATGAGGCTAGGTTGTTGGTCTACCACTCAACTCCCAACCTTGAGGACCAGTGGACTGCTTTGCATCTGATCCCTGCCCTTTAACCGTTCCAGCTTGGGTATCAGGAGGAAAAACTTCCACCGGCATAGTTCTCAGGGTCACTGGAGCACACAAGCCTTCCCACCAAGTCAAGGCGCAATCACCAGGAAAGGCCTTTTATTGTTGTTCTACCTTTGATAAGATACAGTGACCAGCATCTAATTTATAGTCCCAGTGAGAGTCTACTATCACTGTATCTAATCCTTTCATCATTAGTTTCTATCTCATTCTTTATACACCCTAACATTTCTGAAATGCCTTGTCATTTGTTCCCCTAATATCCACATTTCTGTGCTTTTATCAATATAAAAATTGGATTTTAAAGTGTGGGGGACAAATTATGGGGGGTCACTGTCATTTGGGGGAATCACTGTTAGTACCTTCTTTAATATCCCTACAGGAGTACTGTGGAAAGGGATCTGGGGGTCATAGTGGACCACAAGCTAAATATGAGTCAACAGTGTAACACTATTGCAAAAAAAGCAAACATCATTCTGGGAGGTATTAGCAGGAGTGTTGTAAGCAAGACACAAGAAGCAATTCTTCCGCTCTACTCCGCACTGATTAGGCCTCAGCTGGAGTATTGTATCCAGTTCTGGGCACCACATTTCAGGAAAGATGTGGACAAACTGGAGAAAGTCCAGAGAAGAGCAACAAAAGTGATTAGAAGTCTAGAAAACATGACCTATGGGGAAAGATTGACAAAAATTGGGTTTGTCTAGTCTGGAGAAGAGAAGACTGGGGTGGGCGGGGAGAGGACATGATAAGTTTTCAAGTACATAAAAGGTTGTTACAAGGAGGAAGGAGAAGAATTGTGCTTCTTAAACTCTGAGGCTAGGACAAGAAGTAATGGGCTTAAGTTGCAGCAAGGGAGGTTTAGGTTGGACATTAGGAGAAACTTCCTAACTGTCAGGGTGGTTAAGCACTGGAATAAATTGCCTAGGGAGGTTGTAGAATCTCCATCATTGGAGATTTTGAAGAGCAGGTAAGACAAACACCTGTCAGGAATGGTCAAGATTATACTTAGTCCTGCCATGAGCGCAGGGGACTGGACTACATGACCTCTCGAGGTCCCTTCCAGTGCTATGATTCTATGATTAAGTGCGTAAGTTAAGTGCACTTTGGCATGATAAAGTGTACACATGTATGTGATTAACTTTATCCAAGGTGCAACGAGAACAAAGGGGAATGTAACTCTAGTATTTACAGTATATTCCGTAAGGGTGAAATTCAACCCTCTGCAGAGGGGCAGCACAAGAGCTAAGCTCCCCTCCAATCTCACTTAGGACCAGCCGTCTACCCAGCAGTGAATTTTGCCCATCCCAAATAACCTGAATTACAACAACAAAGCATTGTTTACCTTCAAAGTTGCTAGATTTGGGTCTTCTTCCTTTTTTTCCTCTTTGAACAACTTTTTTCGCTTCTTTTTGTCTGGCTCATCTTCAATGCTTAATGTTACGTGGCCAGATGTCGACTTAGCTACAGAGATTTGATGACATAATTTAGGTTTATAGCAGCTGCAGTAATGGATAAACCTCTAATGGCTGAGATAAGTCCTTAACAAAAATCTTGGGGGGGGGGTCTTACTCCATTCCCTCTCCTTCTCTATACTTCTCTTGCACTTTCTCCTGTCAAACCAGTCAGAGATTCTTTTCCTACAACTTCTCCCTACCTGATACACCATTTTTTACTCCTCTCTACCACTGAATACAATCATCTGTCTGGCTTATCCCCTTCCCTGTGACTTCTATTCTCACTCCCCTACCGACCCACCCCTTTTCTTTCTCCTTCTTCCTCAATCATCCCAAGGTCAAATCTACCCCAACAGATCCTACTACCTTTCCAAATGTTGAGAAAAATTTAAGGTGAGGTCTTACCAAGATGGAATGCCATTACCAAGATGCTGACTGCCTTCAGATCTCATATGCTCCAGGCCTTCCTCAGGTCAAAGGCACCAAAAACACATGCCAATGTGCCTCTGACCTTAGGAAAGCCATGGAGAATGTGGAGATGTAAATATGGCAACTGCTCAGCAGAAACTGCCTACCTGGTTGACAGCCCACCACTGATTTTGACAGCTATTAACAAAGGCAGGAGGAGCTTGTTGGATCTAACTATCCAAACCTTATTCAGATTTAGTGTTTGGGTTGAGGTTTGGATCAATCCTTTTAATTTTGTTAAATTAATTCATCTATCTGTGATATAAATATCTATTAATACTCTCTCTCTCATTCTCTCTCTCTCTCTCTCTCTCCGGCATTTGTATGGTGCCAGTCACCATAGTATCTAGGCAATGATATAAAACATATCTTGTACAAATAATTAAGAGAGTCTTTTTCAGTTCTCAAGTCACCAGCCTGGTCAAAAACAATGGAAAACCCTGGCATAACTGTCACCACTAAAGTTTGTGGATTGTAGAATTCTATCTATGTTAAGGTGTCAGTTAACAATATCGCTGTACATGGATGTGGCATCAGAACTTTGTATAACATTTCTTTCAGGTGGCCTGGTACGGTGCATGCATAATTAGAATTTTGACTGACAGCTTTTCAGCACTGATGATCTGATAATTGAAATTTTGGTCAGCTGCCATGTTCAAAATGATAATGACTGACATTTATGTAGTACCTTTCATCCAGAACGATTGCAAAATGCTTTGCAAACTAGAAATTATTTCCACCACTAATAAAATATAATATCCACCTCAAGGATGGGAAGAGCCAGCCATTTTATTCTGAAGAGCAAATCTACACAGACAGTACAAATATTAGTTTTCTTTCTCTGCCTATTTAAATAGTTGGGTTAGGAAAATAATTTGCTGAAGGCATGGTTTACTGTCACAGGGATTTGTACAGCAGTAGAAGATTCTCTTCCATTAGTGTATTTAATAATCTATTCTTGTCCAATCTCTTCTGCTGAAAATTCTTGAGTTGACTGAGTTTGACACAAGAATTAGCTGCTATTGTGATGTCTATCATTCTGGATTCTATTTTCAAATTCAAATTCCTGGAACTGAGCCCATTCCTACGGTTTGGGTTTTCGGTTGGATCCAAAATTAAAAGAGGTTCATTTTTTGGATCTGATATAGATACATACCAATACCGTGGTAAACTTCCTAAAACATCTAACATTGTAAGATTTCCATCATTTTGAGGCTGAATTCTGCAAAGAATTGCTCATGTGATTTGAACAACGTTAAACCCAATCCTCAACCCAGTTTTTTAACTCAGCATCTAAACTACCCATAGTCTAATCCAGATATGGATTAGGATCTGAACACTGCCCCTCTCACAACTCTAGGAAGAACAGACATTCAATATGAACAGGGTAAAAATGTTCTTGAATTAGCACAGAAATAAATTATTATAGTAAGTAAAAAAGTACATATACAAATATTTTACTCACTGTTGCCTGGTTTCCCCTCATTGGGATAGATTGATTTTACCTTTCAAAATAAAAACAGAATGGTCAGACTCCTAAATACAAATGGAACATTAAAGAGGAAGCCATTTTGCATAAATCTAGCTTTAAAATACCATACATCCATTCAAGTATGGGGCTACTGGGGCCCTTACCTTTTTCATTTTTTCCACAGAAGCATCGTACTTTGACCACCAATCAATAACATTTTCAGCAGATTCATCTGCTATTGTTCTCTTTTTTCTTTTTGTGGATCGTCGGGAGGATTTTCTTGATTCCTAGCAAGGTATAAGGAAATGCTGTTGAACTCTAGGATTATATCAGCTATTAAAAACCAGCTGGACTATCAAGCGGAACAGATGTAGGTGGAGTGGATTTCAGTCTGCAAGAACTACATTATTGTGTGTCTCTGACTTTGTATCCCACTAGAGAATCCATTGTGATCATCATGTTATTAGTACAGTTTCTATATTACTTTCTGCTGCTATCAAATATTATACTTTTAAAATTTGGGGCATTGCAACAAAAGCAAGCTATTTAAAGGGAAGATCTACCTTAGAAAGAAGAATTATTATATTTGGAAGGATACAGACCTCCTGATATCCCTTGGTTCCCTCCAATATTACTGCATTTGCAGCTACATTCAGAACTTTCAATATTATCAACACGAGTTTTGAAGACAACTAGGATTCTGAATAGCCATTGAGAATTCAGTCATCTTGCTCTTAGAAAAGATAAAGAGCCTGATCCCACAAACCAACTGCTTCTGCAAGTAGGCCCATTGACATCAGTGGGACTGCACATGTGAATAATGACTGGACCCTGTTAAATTGTGCATTCGGCCTTTCACACTAACAAAGAGTTGCTACTTGCAGCTGTCATGTATTTAGCAATGCAGCTACAAACAGAAGGGCAGTTCATGTGTCAGTATAACAATGCCTGCATCTGTAATATTCACTCCATGCATCTGAAGAAGTGGAGTTTTTACCCAAAAAGCTTATGCCCAAATAAATCTGTTAGTCTTTAAAGTGCCACCAGACTCCTTGTTGTTTTTGGAGAGTTACAATACTGGGCTCTATATTTGGATGAGTACTTTACGATATTTCACTGACTCTTGTATCTATAAATTGTGTTGTTACAGATGACAGACACACAAGGGTGCGTACAGGTGGAGTTGAGACATTGCTGCCTCTCCTTGTCCTTCAAACTATACAGAACATTGGCAATGTATAACTAACTATCAGTGCATCTAGGTGCTACAAGTAAGAAGTGGCTACTTTATCCCATTCTAAAAAGTGTAGCTGAAATGGAGCACAATGTCAAACAGATTTGTCAGTCCTTCCATTTAATTTTTGCAAAAGAAAGAAAGAAAGAAAGATTGGTTATTTCCCCATCCAAAAAGTGATAGTTTATAGAGCTGATCAGAAAAAGGTTTCTGCAGTCTGGAAACGTTCTTCTGATCAGCTGTATGAACTAGAATATATTATGCCTGTCATGCTGACCAATATTGTCTCATTGTTTCGTTGTTCTCCCCCATCTGTCTAATGCACCTGTTGTCTATTGTCTTATACTTCAATTGTAACCTCTTTAGCACAGGGACTGTCTTTTTGTTCTGTGTTTGTACAGCACCTAGCACAATGGGTCCTGGCCTATAACTGGGCTCCTACACACAATCATCATAATAAATGTATTATTAATTACATTAATTATTATTATTATTATTATTTTAAAATAGCTAGCGAGCTGATGGTTCAGCTAAATCCACCTTCTGCTTTCTATCTTTTGCTGGTTCAGAGGATGGGGATGTAGATTTAAGTGCAGATGGCAGTGAAGAAGCAGGTACAGCGGCTGCAGCAGAAGATTTTGCTGGAACTGGTTCTTGTATTACTAATGCAGCTGAACCGTACTCCACATCGACATAAATGTGATCTGCTGGATGTGGTTGTGGTTGTGGTGATGCAGGGGACTGTGGTGACGCTGGAGCAGCTGAAATTAGAAACACAGCAAATTGGTAAGATTATGCCAGAAAAGACAGTCATCGTATTGGTTCTCAAGAAAATATCAATAATGATATCTCTTAAAAGTTGCACAGGGCTTGATCCTGGAAGGTGCTGAGCGCTCCAGCCCCAGGCCAGCAGATCCCTTAAGCATGTGTTTACTCTACTGTTTTAACAAATATCACCTTGTCTTTTTATTTGGGGACAAGAGCTATATTGTGCATTTACCTTTGTCGGTTTCTATAACGTCCACTTTTGCTGTAAGTGCAGGAAGCTCCTTGGGATTATATAAATATTGCTTAAGGCAATTGATGGTGTGTGTTCCAACAAGAGTACTACGACCAAACGCTCTCCAGTCAACCACACAGATACTGAGTGGTGGGTGCAAAAGTTCATTATCAGGCAATTCCTGGCAGAAAAGAACAGACAACAGCATGAGAGATTTGTTTTCCTTACTAGTGTCAAGAAAAGTGCTGGATTGAGAACCCTGACTACTGATGTTCTTGATCCATCAAACAGGTATAGCATGAGCAGTGTAGGTCTGTTCACACTACCCTGCCAATCCTACCTAGAAAAGCACCCTGGCTGTGGGCAAGCTGCTAAAAATTTGTCAGGGAAAACAGTAAAGTCTAGAGGAATCAACGCAGTGTTGGGAGTCAGGAATTTATGAGTTCTAATCCCACCTCTGCCACTGACTTGGCTAAAGTAATTTCACTTCACTGCCTAAGTTTCCCAGCTGTAAAAGGGGATAACATATATTTCCCTAGCTTACAGGGATATTGTGCAGATTAACTAGGTAATATCTGAATATCAGTTTGAATGTGTAAAGTGCAATAAAAATTAAAGGTACCACAGGTACTTAGATATTATTATTGGTGCTTAGATATCATTGTGCCTTATAAAAACTTAGATAGACTTTCATATCTGTTGATGTCGCCAGCTAACACAAATCCTCGTCCACTAAGACCTGAACTGAAACCACCAGTTCATTTTACACATGCCAATGGACAGCCAGGAAGCTTCAAGGCATTACTGACCAGGGCCAAATTCAAGCCAACAACCTAGAGGTAAAAGGTTCAAAGCTCATGGGTCATAACTAAGGTTAAGATTTTATCAGGGTTATTTTTAGTAAAAGTCACAGACAGGTCACAGGCAATAAACAAGAATTCACAGAAGGCCGATCCCCACCGCGGGGGGGCTGACAGCCTGAGTCCTGCTACCTGCCAGCTGTGGGGGTGCTAACAGCACAAGCTCACTGCCAAAGTCCTGCCATATGGGGCTCACCACACCACCCGCTGCCTGAGGCTGACAGCCGAAGCTCTGAAATCGCAGAGGTCATGAAAAATCACAGAATCCGTGACCTCCGTGACAGACTCGTAGCTTTAATCATAACCAATCAATTACTTAACTGTCCAGTCTGGCAATAGCACAAAAGGGCTTAAGAAGTAAAGTTTCAGAGTAGCAGCCGTGTTAGTCTGTATCCGCAAAAAGAAGAACAGGAGGACTTGTGGCACCTTAGAGACTAACAAATTTATTAGAGCATAAGCTTTCGTGGACTACAGCCCACTTCTTCGGATGCATATAGAAGAAGTGGGCTGTAGAAGTGGGCTGTAGTCCACGAAAGCTTATGCTCTAATAAATTTGTTAGTCTCTAAGGTGCCACAAGTCCTCCTGTTCTTCTTTTTAAGAAGTAAAGAAAATCAAACAGTGCTATAGCTTGTGTCTTCCACTGAGTAAAGAGAAGATGATCAGAGAAAGAGCGGCAGGACACTGTACACACCACTTCAAACCTGTCTGCTTGGACACTGAAGTTGGGATTGTTCTTGACGCTCTGGATGACGGAAGATTTAACTCCTTTCCCTGCGCATTCTATGAGAACCTGTGGGCGGTCTACAGAGAGGAGCTGGACTTTCTTCAGCTCACGAACACCCCAGAACAGAACCTATGGCAAGTGGAAAAAAAGTGGTCAGTAAAAACATAGGCAACAGTGGGCCAGACTCACTGGGATGCTCCTGACAGGAGTACACAGGTAACATTGGGAATCATGGACCAGATTCACCAGTATACTCCTGCCACTTTGTGCCATGCATAGCTGCCAGAAAGCACTGCTGAATCTGGTCCCAGTTATCTGCAAGAAGTTGTTCTAAACACCTGTCAGTGTCTGAAATTACAAAAAAAAAAAAAAAGACCTCATGTCTTTGAACTGAAAGTTAAGCCAATTAACAATGTTAAACTGTTAACAAAACATAATCAGTTAATAATTTTATTTCTAACAGTCCCCTCCTCTGCAGGACAAACATACTCAGTCCCTATTAATCTGACAGGCCAGATCCTCAGCTATTGCCTACAACAGAGCTATATCCGTTTATACCAGCTGAGGATACAGCCCATGGTATTTTGTCAGGAGTAGTTTTATTAAATTTATATGTTTTATGCATTGATTCATTGCATACCCTCTAGAACTCTCATGGAATTCCAAGTTTTCTTGCACACCGGTACTTATTAGCAATACAATTATTTGACAATTACAACAATATAAATTAGGAATTACAAAATCCAAAATAAAATTCTTCAAATGCCAAACCACAGCCGTATCATTCAGGAGTAGTAATGCCTTGATTGAACACTATTTAAGCACATGGCTAACTATAAGCACATGATTTGTCCCATTGACATAAATGGAATTCATGTGCTTAAAGCTAAGTATGTGCTTAATTAACTCACGTACTCAGGCCTAAAACAGAAAACACATCTGAAAAGGAGATTTTTTTCCCTTTCTCCAGTGAACGGTTGTCATTTCTCTTCCTATTTCCCTTTGCAACAATTTGACTGTTTGATCCCCCCCCCAGAAAAAGTCAAAGCAAGAACTGCTCCTGTGGTTGAATTCACACACAAGCATTTCTAGCGACTGGCTCATCAGTCTCAGCACAGTTCGTATAATTAAAATCTGACTTGATTTAGAAATTTTCAAAGACAGGCAATTAAACACATTATGTGTAGTTATAGGACCAGCGACAGGAAGTGACACAACTTGACTGGTTAGAATTTAGTTATTATTCTGAGAAATGAGGAGTTGCCAAATTTCCCTTACATTCTATATAATAAAGTGACTTCAGGCCCAAATTGTAGGTGACTGTTCACAGGGGCACTAGAGGGGTTGGGGAGAAAGCACAAACACATGCATGCAGGAGGCAGCCATCATTTGGCTGAAAGTTTTGGGAGCAGAGGAGGAGTGGCTAACACTTAGCCACTAGCAACACTAAGTAACCCAAAGAGGGTGTCTTGGTGCAGCGGGGCAGGACCATATCTGCCTGCCTCATCCAGTGCTGAAGATGGGATTGAGAGCAGGTGATACTTCCCAATTGTCCAGCCATTTTATACAAGCATCTTCCATACTCATGCGCTGTGACTATAAAGACTGGTTACTTACGTTGTACACTAACTGCAGTTCTATGTATATTCCACTCAAGCTGCGCATGTGCTCCATACACCTGGGACCAGAAGATTTTCCATTAGCAGTGTCTGTTGGTCCTCACCTGTGCCCCTCTCCTCCTCGTGCTCTGAACCAAGGGTAGAAGGGACGGTGCACACTGACCTCATCTCCAGCTCCTTCTTTGGCATGAATAACCTTAGAACAAGGATCCAAAGCAGAAGAAGAGGACGGCAGCTGGCAGAACCACACGTCTCAAAAAACTCCCGTTACTGTACAATGTAAGTCATTCGTCTTCGAGTGATGGTCCCTAGGTTTATTCCATTTGACATGACTCTCAGGCAGTATTCATTGGGGAGGAGGGGTGAGGAACCCTGCTGTACCACAGATTGTAAGACTGCTGTGCTGAAGGATGCATCTGCTGTAGACACCTGTACCAAGGCATAGTATCTTACAAATGTATGCACGGAGACCCATGTTGCATCTCTACAGATCTCCAAAAGAGGGACATCTCAAAGGGAAGTTGCTGATGCCAAGGCTGGTTGGATATACAAACAGCGGAATTTCCAGTCCTCTTTGGTGGCATGGGGCTTCGGGTAGAAGACAGATAAGTGGATGACCTGGTTCAGATGGAATTCCAAGATTACTTTCAGAATTAATTTAGGATGTAACCTCAGGGAAACTTTATCCTTATGGAATACCATATAGGGAGGGTCTGCAATAAGGACCCCCAGTTCTCCTACTCTTCTGGCTGAAGTGATTGCAACCAGGAAGTCAATCTTCATAGATAGAGGGGTGAATAGACATGAGGCTAAAAGCTTGAATGGTGAATTTGTTAATGGAAGTAGGACTGAACTGAGGCCCCAGATTGGAGTAAGTTTTAGCACTGGAGGAAAAATTCTGACAAGACCCTTCAGAAACCTTACTGTGGTCAGACGGGCAAAGACTGAATGGTT